TTTCTGTATACATCAAAAAAAAAAAAAAAAAAAAAAAGAAAATTAGAACAAAGCAAAACCAACAAAATGTATTGTGCACCTTTGCTCTGAAGTTCCAGCAGCATTTTTCCGTAGTGTGTCTGCAACTCCACTTGGTCTTGTTGTTTGGTCTTGCTCAAGTTGTTGGCTCTGGGCCGCCCAGCCCAGCAGATACAAAAGTACGTGATTTCTTCTTTTTGCTACAAGTTCCACTAGCTATAAGCCTTCAAATCTTTTAAATATTCCTATCTATGTGGTTCTGAGATTTGGAGCTCTGCCCTGAAACTTCTTTGCCTGGTGTTCTGTGGTATTGTTGATGGCGAACCTCACTGCACCTCTACCCTAGCCACCATCAAACCATAAATACTTTTCAATTGAAATTTCACTTGCTTCTTTATCCTGTTTTTAATGTGACTACTGTTGTTGTTCTTTCTTCACAAGATCTTTTTAAAGTGTTGAAGAGCAAAGATGTCAGCTTGAGAACTAAGGTGCACCTGACCCAAGCCATGGTATTTTCAATAACCTCATATGCATGCGAAAGCTGGACAATGAATAAGGAAGACTGTAGAAGAATTGATGGTTTTGAGTTATGGTGTTGGAGGAGAATATTGAAAGTGCCATGAGCTGCCAAAAGAACCACAGGTCTGCATTGGAAGAAATGCAGCCAGAGTGCTCCTTGGAGGCCAGGATGGCCAAACTTCATCTCTCATACTTCAGACATATTGTCAGGAGGCCAGTCACTGGAGAAGGATAGCATGTTTGGTAAGGTGGAGGGTCAGAGAAAAAGAGAAAGCCCCCTAGTGAGATGGATTTGCAAAGTGGCAACATCAATGGGTTCAAGCATGTTAACAATTATGAGGGGTGGCCCAGGATCGGGCAGTGTTTTGTTCTGCTGTGCATAGGGTCACTATGAGTTAGTACTGACTCAATGGCACCTAACAACAACAACTGTTGTTGTTAAATGTCATTGAGTCAGTTCCACTCCAGCAACTTTGTGTAAGGTTTTTGAGGAAAGGCTAGAGGGTTTTATCTGCCAATTTTGTGTTTAGCAGTCCAGTGCTTATCCTATAGTACCACTACTAGGGAATTTTAAATTACACAAAATATGCTTATTGTGACTTGTATTTTATTACCATTGGACAGGGCTGTGATAGACTATTTAATTAGACAATAAAGTTAAATTGTGGGGAGTATTCAACAAAATAGAATAATTAAACGAATAAAATATCAATAGCTTTCTCATGTACACAGTTATCAATTACAATAGGATATCGTCCTGCTAGAATAGCTAGCATGAGAGCAACACTAAAACCACAAAAATATTACACACAAAGAATGCTCAATAGAATAGGGTGATCATGAGAGTGTTTTTTGATTCATCCTGCCTGACTACAAATTCTGATTTAATGATCAGTTGCTTGTTTCTGGAATTTGTTTCTTAAAGTCTTAGTTTTATCATTTTAAATATCTCAAAGACGGACATGACAACTAAATGAGAAGATCCGTTTGAAGATCTTAGAAAGTCCTCAGTAATTCCAGTTACTATAATTTCTAAGGAGTCCTAGTGTGGCACTGTGGGTTAATGTGGGTCGATATGAATGGCAGTTGGTAGTTCAAGCTCACCAGTTGGAACCAACTCCACGGCACTTAACAACAGTAATAATTTCTCAAGGAGCTCTGGTAGCATAGTGGTTATGAGTTGGGCTGCTAATTTCATGGTTCGAAACTATGAGCTGGTCAGTGGGAGAAAGATGGGGCTTTCTGAGCCCATAAAGATTACAGCCTCAGAAAACCTAAACAGTGTCATTATGAGTCGGAACTAACTCCACAGCACATAATCACCACGACAATTTCTCAAAGAAGTGAGGAATATGGAGCCAGAGCAAGGAGGATTCATTTAAAAACAAGAAAACTTTGAAAAGTAGTGAAAAATAAAAAAGTTCTTGGACGAGAAGAAATATTACTTTATACAATTATTAATTATATTTATTATAATTAACAATGATTAATTTTATTGTAATTTATAGTAATTAAAACTATTATTAAGAATGCACATTTTCCTTTATGTCATTTTTCATTCTCCTACTGAAATGTCCATCTTTTCCATAATGTTCATAAATTACTTTGCTCTGTGTGGGAATCGACCAGATTGCAGTGGGTTAGGTCTTGGTCTTCTTAATATATAAATTATGGACATTGTAACATTGACACAAATAGAGCAACTGTTTTTTCTCAGTTTGTTACTTTCCATTTAATTTTTAGGGTGTACTTCAAAGTTTTAAAATAATCAAATCTTTCAAATCTTCCTTGATAATTTCTCTATTTTGTTATATACTTAAAAGACCTTCCTCAACGTATATGTGAATATTTACCACTATTTTCATCAACTGCTTTTATGGTGTGTTTCTTATATTCAATTCTTTAATTCATCTGGAATTTTTTTTAATGTATATACTATGAAGAATTAATACATCTTTTTTTCCTATAGTTAACCCAACAAACAGTGACCCTGCTTTATGGAATGTTTTATCCTTTTCTGATTTTAAGTGACACTTTTTCTTATAGTCAATATGTTGTTGCTGTCATCAGTTCTTAAGTGCCATTGAGTTGATTCTGACCCATATATAGGGTTTCCTAGGAGCAGCTGGTGAGCTTGAACCACCGACCTTGCAGTTCAAACAACTTTACAGTCTGATGCATTAGCCCACAGCACCACACCAGGACTCAAATAACTTCTCCTTATTTCTATTTGTAGTATTTCTTGATTAATTTCTACTTTTCTTTTCTTAGTGTCATATTTCCCTTTGATTTTTTCCTTGTTTTCATTCTTAACATCAGTCTCTCCTGCTTTTCTGACTATATTTCTGGTCACTTTCTTTGCTATTGTTATTTTCATTAAGTGCTGTCCAGTCGGTTCCAACTAAGAGTGAGTTTGTATAGTGGTTCCGAGGACCAATCAGTGAGTTTGAACTGTCAACCTTGCTGTACAAACTGACCTTGCAGTTGAGTGCTTATCCTAAAGTGCCACGCCAAGACTTCTTATGCACCTTGATTTCTTATGTTATCATGTTCATATCTCCAGGTGGTCTGTGATTCGTTTCTTCATTTTAAAGTGTTTTATTTCTTCTTACACAGGCAATAATAGTATTGCATAGTGCCTTACCATAAATCTCCTTTAGAAGTGTACTTTTTTTTTTTTTCCCATCATTCTACCCTGGTCCCCTTTCCATACAGAACTGGTTAATAGTGTACTGTATGGATTTCTCTAATTTTTGACATAAATTACATACATTTTATGCACTTGATTAGGTATTCATGCTGGTTTCAACTATTTAATTGTATAGACAAAACTGTGGCCCACATTTTTTTCTATATTTGAGTCATTATTTTCTTAAGGAAAATTATTAGTGAGTCAAAGGATATATACACATTTTAAGACTTTTAATTCATGTTGCCAAAATGTGTCTAAGGAAGGTTGTACCAAGGCACCTAGATGACCATACATTTAGGATAAATGCATCGGAAAAAAAACCAGAAAAATGGAACACATTTTAAAAATCAAAACAATCCTCAATTAAAAGTTGTTGTTGTTATATGCCATGGAGTTGCTTCTGACTCATAGCGACCCTGTATAGGGTTTCTGAGGCTGTAAGTCTTTACAGGCACAGAGAGCATCATCTTTCTCCCATGGAGCAGCTGGTAGTTTCGAACTGCTGACCGTAAGAGTAGCAGCCCAGTTCATAACCACTTCGCTACCAGAGCTCCTTCCAAGGTACTTAACAACAACAACAGTTAAAAGTTGTCAAAAGGAGAGGAGTGGTTGATTTTGGAGTCCTGTCAAAAGGAGAGGAGTGGTTGATTTTGCAGACCAGGTGTGGAGGTCCCTGGGACCATCAACGGAGAAGAGCAGAGTGTGGGACACCCTACTCAGAGAAGCAGTGAAGCCAGAGATGGCAGTAGAGATGATGACGTTGAGAGAAAGAGCAGGGAAGGAGAGGGGTTGTGTGCTGACGGCCATGGGGCAGGCATACATGGTGTACTCTTTGGTTGTTTGATGCATGGAGGGGATTGTAATCATTGCAATGAAATAAAATACGATAGGATGAATATAAAGCTAATCCTCTCCAATGTAAACTATCACTTAATTCACAATAAAAACTTTTTTAAAAAGTACTACCTGTGGACGAACCATTTCTCCTGCTGCAATTTTCTTTTCCTCGTTGATGAGTTGGATGATTTTTCCATTAACAAGTGGTGCGTTTGCACCCTTAACCATTGAAATAATTTTGCCATTCTACAAGGGGAAATAAAGCATGAAAAGAATGTTAATGTTCAAGAGAAGTCAAGAGTTGACTCTACATTGGACTAAGTCACCCTTCCCTGTCCCTTGCCCCTATTCTCTTTCAGCTAATACAATCAGTGGAGCACATGGGTAAGCACTGACTACTCCTAGCATGATGCTGCAGAACAAGGCACTGGACCAGAAGGTTGGTTTGGACCACAAGGTTAGTTTGAATCACAAAGTCAGCTGTTCAAACTCACCAGTCATTTCTCAGAAACCCTATACAGGATCACTGAATCAGAATTGACCAAAGGCTCTTAACAACAACAGCTAACCACAAGGTGCTTCAAACCGATCCAGAGAATCCTCAGAAGACAGGCTTGGTGATCTGCTTCAAAAAGTTCCCAGCTTTGAAAACCCTATAGAACAGGTCTCCTTTGGACACTTGAGATCATCATGAGTAGGAATTCATTCAGGAACTAACAACAAAGGAAAAGTGAGGAATCTCCGGGGGCACAAAGGTTCAAACCGTCCCCCATGAATCAGAATACACTTGATGGCAACTAACAACACCAACGGTGTGAGGGTATGTCTCCATTTGATAAACCCAGTTCTTTGGGCTCTATCTTCAATTTGTCTGAGCACCTACAAGCAAAGATGAAGGAGTGTCCTCCAGGACCTTGCAGAAGTTATCATCCTACAAGAGAATTCACAGTAACTTCTTCCACAGCACCCCTGCATTAAATCTGGACCACCCTCCACAGACCTCCCAATGTTCCCATCCTAACTATTCTTCGCTAATTTCATCTATCTTTTGACACACATTCACTGAATACCTGATTACTAAGCAGAAACCCTATACAGGATCACTATGGGTTGGAACCGACTCAATGTCACTTAACAACAACAAGGCACTGAATCAGGCATGATGGTATGAAATAACAGGCCTAATATATGACCTAATTAAATGACAAAAAAACACACCAACACATGCAAAATAGCAACCATGACAGGTGTCATCACGAGGGATACAAAAATTGGGAGAACCTGCAAGAATTTGTCCTTGTCAAGAAGTTCAGGGAAGGTATTTTAAATACCAAGGACTGATAAATCTTGGGTTAAAAGGTGAAGCGTAGCTATAAAACGTGTCCAAGACTATAAATCAGATAATCTCAAGCTGATGGGTTTGAATCACAAGCCTTTCGGTTAGCAGCCCAACGCTTAATCCACAGCCCCACCAGGCTCTTGAGCCCTGACGCTGGAAGGAACGTGGCACGTGAGAAGGCCAGCCGAGACAGTGAGGGGGAGCCTAGTATGAGCAGGAACCCCACAGCCAGGGGAAACAGGCATGAAAAGTCTTGCGGGACACTAAAGAATGCACCCTTCACTTTAAGTGAAGTCAAAAGCTTTCAGAATGTTTAAATGGAGGCAAAACTGCTGTTCATAAAGATCACATCACCTACAGCGTGAGAAAAGATAAAAGGGGGGGGGGGTAAAGAGAGGGTGTTTGTACACCGGTTAAAAGTTATGACCATGGTAATGGTGGTGGAGTGGGGAAGAAGAGGATGGATATGAGAGAGATTTGGGTGGTGAGACTGAAAGTTCCAAGGGATGGGTGGGGTTGGGTACTATGCAAAGAGAAATGACTAAGATGACTTCTGTTTTGGACTTGAGAATAGGATAAATTATATTATTCACCAAATGAGGAGACACTGGAAGACGACCATATTTTTATAGGTGTGGGAAAGAGGTTTGGTGTTGGACTAGTTTATTTTGAGATGCCTTTGAGACAATCAACAGGAGATGCCAAGTTATCAGTTGGATAAGCCTATCTTGGATTAAACTATCAAAGTATAGGAAATGATGTAAAACATAAACTTGAATTATAATTCAAGTCATGGTGTGGTGTTATAGGACAAGCACTGGATCATAAGGTTGGTTTGAATTGCAAGGTAGGTGATTTAAACAGTGATTGTACCTCAGACTTTATGCAGGGTCTCTATGGGTCAGAACAGACTCAACAGCATTTAATAATAACATAATATATACATATTATATATATATAATGTTATTAACATATATATATATTATGTTATTATATAAATATGTATATATTATGTTATTATTAAGTGCTGTCAATTTAATTTTGACCCATAGTGACCCTGCATAGGGTTTCCAAAGCTATAAATCTTTATGGGAGCAGAAAGCTTTATCCTTCTCCCATGGAATGGCTGCTAGTTTTATACTGCTGACCTTGAAGTTAGCAGCCTGACTCCTAACTACTCCATATACTTATGTGTGTGTGTGTATATATAGATATAGATATAGATATAGATATAGATATAGATATAGATATAGATATAGATATAGATATAGATAGATAGATAGATAGATATAGATATAGATAGATAGATAGATAGATATAGATATAGATATAGATATAGATATAGATAGATAGATAGATAGATAGATAGATAGATAGATAGATAGAGATAGATAGATAGAGATATATACAGATATAGTTTATATTGTTGTTGTTAAGAGCTGTCTAGTTGGTTCTGACCTATAGCAACTCTGTATAGGGTTTCTGAGGAACCATTGGTGAGCTTGAACCACTAATCTTGTGGATCAAACGCCTTTGCAGTCTAGCATAGTAACCCACAGTGCCACACCAGGACTATGTATATGTTTATTGCCTCCCCAGAGTATAAAACATGATGAGGTCAGTCTTTAATGCCTAAATTAAGAAGGATGAGCTTGAAAAGGATATAAAGTGCTGGTGGTTCTGTAGGGTAAGCACTGGACTATTAACCACAAGGTTGGCAGTTCAAAACCCATCAGCTGTTTTTTTGGAAGAAAGATGAGCCTTTCTGTCCCTTTAAAGATGGACAGCCTCAGAAAACCTTCATAGGGTTGCTGTAAGTCAGAACCAACTCAGTGACAGCGGGAAAGAAAGCACCTGGGAGGAGGCTCTGGGTGGTGTAAATGTTTACCATGTTTTGCTCCTAACCAAAAGGCTGAAACTTTCTGTCACTCAAAGGCAATCTGCTTCTGTAAAGATAGCAGTCATTAAACACCTTGCACAGCACAGTGCTACTCTAACACAGAGTTACCATGAGTTAGAACTGCCTTGACAGCAATTAATTAAAGCCAAGTCACCAAAGTCTAAGCAAGAGACTTCCAGTAAAATGCTGGGCTAGGCAGGCATGCTACACAGACCCTCGACAACAAAGTTACTGGAGACCAAGTGACATGGAAACAGATGATTATCCTGGAACTGGAGCTTCAGAGGAGAGTGGATTTAGACAAGTGGATTGAAAACTTTTTGGGGGAGAAGCTGAGCAGGGGTAGCACAGGAAGGCGACAGACTGGAGATCAGCCCGGCAGCCAGAGCCAGACACAGTGCAGTCAGCTTGACCATTCGCGAGCAGCTTTAGCAGACAGTGTCCTGGTATTGCAGCTGACTCTGGTGACTGGCAATGGGAAAGGTGTGATTCTTTCTACTTCTCCACATTCCCCTGTGACCAAAGGTGTGGCCAGCCTCTCCAGTGAGTGGCAGGTGGCGGCTCTGTTGGTTTGGTGCCTGGATTCAGAACAGATACACTGCAAACCTGCAGAACCCACAGGGCTGGCAGACCAGCCCTAGACTGGAATGCTTATACCCAGTAACCTTGCCCCTAGCTGCCCTCTGGTCCTGACAGGCAGCTGCCTTAAGGACCTTCATGAACTCCTTCTGGACTGGGTGCCCTAAACTGAGACAACACGGAGGCTTAGGAGACCTTCATCTAGGGCTGGGAACACTAATGTCTCTTCCCTCCCCCACCCACCTCGTGAGCTTCTTGGCTGGCACGAGTTTCCCAGAATTCTCTCCTCTCTGGGTCCAACACGTACCCTCCCCATTGTTTTTATGTTTATTCTTTCTTCTACTTCTTCCCTCTTTCTATTCCTTTATTTTTATCTTTTTAATTTCTGTTTACATTTTTTCTTTGCTTCCATTTCTCTTTCCCACGTTTTCTTTCTTTCTTTTTCTCTCGATTTTTCTTTACTATCTCTAGTCTCTTTTTCATCATCCCTCTCCCTAATGTGTTCAGTGTTTTCTTTTTATTTTCTCTCACATTTTTCTTGTACAGTTTTATTTTCCTGTTCCTCTTTTCTCTTTTTATTTATTCACATCACAAAAAAAGACAGAAGAAAACCATAAATCTATAGTAAACACTTAAACAACAGTAATGGAGAAAATGACAAGAAAACACACAAGCAACATGAACTCAGCACAGAAAATTATGTGGAACATAGAAACCAGAAGCACCATCAAAAATCACATAGCAAAATAACAGCAATGGCTTCACACTTATCAATGTAAATGGATTAAATGCACCAGTCAAGAGACAGAGAGTGGAAGAACTGATTTTCAAAACAAACTAAAAAAGATCCTTTATGTCTACAAGAGACACACCCTACATACAAAGACAAAAATAGACTAAAATTCAAAGGATGGAAAAATTATATCAAGTTAATAGAAATAAAAAAAAACTAGCAGAAGTGACAACACTAATTTCTGATATAATAGACAGGGAAAATTAGCATAAGAGGCAAAGAAAGACATTATATCATGATCAAAGGGCCAACTGAATCAGAGGACATAAACATAATCAATTTGCATGCTCTCAATGAAAAAGCCTCAAAAACTTGAATCAAGATCTAATAGAAGGGAAGAAAAAATAGACAACTCTATAATAATAGTTGTTATTGTCATTGTTGTATGCCATTGAATTGGTTCTGACTTCTAGCAACTCTGTATAGAATTACCGAGGAGCAATTAGTGGATTTGAACCATCAACTTTGAAGTTAGCAGTCTAGTGCTTATCCAACAGATAGAATAAACAGACTGAAACTCAAAAGACACAGACGAACTAAACAACACAATCAACCAACTTGATCTAATAGACTTATACAACAACAGTACAATATACATTCTTTTCCACTGCACATGGAATATTGTCCAGAATAGA